GCTATAATAGTCACTGTTTACCAACCCACATCTCCTCCCCAGAGAGCTCAACTGAAATTAATTTTTCAGGAGCCAATATACCGTAATTAGTAGGGATAATTCCAAAGAGGATCTAAATCCACAGGCAGCTCAATGTAAGAACAAAACAAATATAAGAGCAAAAATATGAGCCCTAACCAGGAAAATTAAAATTTTGCCAAAATTATATTAACATTACTGATGATGAACTTGAAGTTATTGTAGCATCTAAACAGTCTCTACTAATGCATACCAATTCCTCTTGGGTTAAACATAATAATGATAACTTCGATTTTCCTATGGGAGCATATGATTCTGCTCAAATCACTGATTTAGAAGGTATATACATATTAGACACCCTCAGTAGGTTTATTAACCCTAACCAAACTTTCATCATTTTATATATATATATATATATATATATATATATATATATATATATATGTATGTATATAATTATTTTATAAAAAATTATAACATAAGTATGTTATAAAATCACTACAAAAATAGCCATTTTGTTTCAACACACTCTGTGTCTTATCAAGTGATGACGTTGAAAAGAAAATATACATATATATATGTTAATTCAAACATTATTTTTACTGAATACCTGTGTTCGAAATAGATGCCCCATTTTTATTTTTACATTTTTATTTTTTATTATTTTACAGAGGCAATGCATGTTTAAACACACTTTATCCTCTGATGGACTTTATCAAGGCAAATATAAAGATTTTATTTTGCAACATTTATAAATATCAGTAAAAATGTTATTCTGTCAAGTTTGTAATTTAATATCTAATGAACAAGAGTAATTATTTTTAAAATAATATTATTATTTTTTTATTTTAGTTTGGGATTAATTTATGTATTATATATTTTAAATAATAGAAGGTTGTGAATTTAACATTTTTATCCTCATGTACATTGGCTTTGGAAAAGAGTAATTCGTTTAGGAATGAAGATATTTGAAAAATCCAGTGTGAAGATTTATATTTTGGTAAAATAAAATAGTAGCACTCTCAAGAATTTTCTCTCTAAGTAAATTATTTTTTCATTTAATAAGTGAGGGATTCCTTAGATCAATGTTGTGGTTGAATTTATTTCTATGTCGGATTAATGCAGTTGATAAATGAAAAATTGTTGTGTATAAGATTGTTTTTGTGTTCATAGATATGTTTTTTAAACTTGTGCAAATTTCCTCAATCCTCTACATATATATATATATATATATATATATATATATATATATATATATTTAATATAACAGACAATGTATGTCTATTATGTCTGCTTGTGAGCCATTCTAATGTTCAAATGTTTGCTTTAATTTCTGGTGAAAATAAAGACAAAAATTGGACAAAGTCCAACAACTATTTTTAAGACACTTTTTATGTTTATACGTTCTTTGTATAGAATAATATTTTTAATTATTTTTAAGACATTTTATAAAAATGTCTTAAAAATAATTGTCGGACTTTGTCCATTTCATAATATGTGATGTCATTTATTTACATTCGGATACAAATCAAGCAGATATGAATATATAAGAGAAAATTATGGAGAATTGTAAGTTTAAAAAACAATAAAATCGACCTTGCTAACCGAAACGCTCCTCTGTGGCTCAATCGGTAAAAGCATGTCAGGCTATAAGATGGTTCCGTATAGGATACAAGTTCGATTCCTGTCAGAGGACGAATATTTTCTATGACAATTTCTCGGACATTCAGGCCGGTAATTGTTGCTAATACTGTTTATTATAAAGCAGAACATTTAATTAAATATTTGTATCTATAAAAAGAACGTATAAACATAAACAAATGTCTTAAAAATAATTGTCGAACACTATACATTTCATAATGTGTGACAGATATATATATATATATATATAATCTACATACTTTTCATTGAAGTGCAATTATAAATGCAGAAATATATGTTTGTAGACATGTAAAATTATATCAATAAATATATAATGATATATATGACTTGATGCATAGAAATAGGAATCAATCAGAATATATATATATATATATATATATTATAATTGAAATTAAATATACCATTAGTTAATGACCATTTTCACCTATGAATTTTAAGTTCAAAATTTTGCAGGATTTTTCAAACTGTTTATTGTCTTATGTTTCTGGTTTATGGCTCATAAACAGTTTGAAAAATCCTGCAAATTTTGAACTTAAAATTCATAGGTGAAAATGGTCATTAACTAATGGTATCTTAATTCCAATTGTAGGAAAAATTTTTCTCTGTAAAATGAAAATAAATATAGAGCACTCTTTTGTGAGTCAGTTTTAACATTTAATATTTAATATTTCAAATTCTATATTGTGTTAATAGAACTCACTTGGATTCTACCAACAGAATACTACCTGTATATATATATATATATATATATATATATATGTGTGTGTGTGTGTGTGTGAAAAGTGTATATAAATATAAATAAATATATATATGTATAACTATTTATATATTATATGCGTGGTACTTATTAGAAAGCGCTCAATATCAGAGATAGAGCTAACATATATATATATATATATATATATTGCAAGGAATAGATACAAATTATTTCCTAAAGGCATTATGAAAAATGAAAAAAATAAAAAATAAGAGATGATAACACTTACAAAACAGACCAACCGGTTTCGTTCCCAATCTCATCAGGTTCAACTGGGAACAATTTAACAATTATAGCAATATATATTGACTCACACAAACACCCTACATACAATTAAAACATTAAAAATGAAATGATTAATGGTATGAGGAAAAAAAAATATATATATATATATATTTAAACTGTGCGAATATGCACAGTACAAGGGGGAAAAAAAATTATAACGGGGAGTGTGAGGGGAAAGTATGATAGACACTAGAGTGTAATAACGTGAAGCCCAAGGAGACAGTCTCTTTGCTTGCAGAGAGACGGCTCCCTGGACTGAATATACAGAGACTCAAGTGCCCTCAAATGAAATGGAGAGTACGAACTGGACAGTACAGTAAACCAATTCGGACTGAAGTTCCTCGCACAATCCCTGCAATTTTTTTAAATGTTCAGTGATCGCTGACCCGGAAGTATTAACCAACTGGCTCTTACAAGCATCTGGATTAAGAACTCGCAATGGGACATGCTGCCTGATCCTACAATCTAAACGTTGGGAAGTCCTTTCTATGTAGTTGCTACCGCAACCACATTTAAAAGAATATATCACGGAGGAAACATGATGGGGAGGAAGAGGATCCTTACGCATAGAGGGAAAGGCAGAACGAGTCGCAAAATGAATTCTTAGTTGAGCAGAGAAATAGCAGTGATGGACAGCAGACCCACCTAGCCACAAGCTCGCCCCAGGAACCAATAAATGGAAGCCGTAAGTAAATATGACATTTCTGAACTAAGTATTGTTTTTCCTTTCGAAAGTTAATAATTTTATCACGCATGACACCATCAAGAATATCACTAGGATATCCATTTTTTAATAGAGTGCAGTGGATAAAATCCAATTCTTCATCCAAATATTTTTCGCTACAGATCATCAAGGCCCTATGAGTTAAGGTCTTGATCAGATTGATTTTGCGCTTTCTGGGACAAAATGAGTCCCAACGCGTATACAGACCAGAAAACGTTGGTTTGCGAAACACCGAAGTAAAAAATTGAGAAGGAGTCCGATGCACAAGAGAGACAAGAATTAGACTCCTTTTCGATGGTAAATTTTAAAGATGGATGAAGTTGGTTCATAACTGTGAGAAAGGAAT